CAGAAAATGTGGATTAATTTGTTTAACAAACATTCATTGTATTCCCACCAAACGCCAGGCCCTGGGCCAGATGCCGGAGGTTGCAGTGTTTTGGGAGTTTGCCATTTAGCGAAGGAGTAGTTTTCAAATGTTCGCATGGGTAAGCATCACTTGGGGAACTTGTTAATAATGCACATTCCTGAGCCCCATCCCCAGTGTGTCTGATTCATCAGGCAGGACTGAGGTTTAGGCATCTGTATTTTAACCTGTCCCCAGGTGGTTCTGAAGCAGGTGGCGTTCAGTTGTATCTTGAGAAATGCTGACCTAGTAGATTTTAAGTTCTGGTCAGCTTACATCTGTTAAACTCGGGGCTGCAGGGGTTTGGAAGGGATGCATGGTTTCTAATGGCCACAAGAAGCCTTAGAAAGACTTCCTAAAAAGGGTTTCTGTGCCACGACAGCACACCAAGATGCCACTGCTTCTTTTCAAACAGGAGAAAGACATTGTGTTATCATGTGGCCTAAGGTTAGAGGTCAAAGGCGTTTCACTGGAATAATTCAAGGTGTGGGTAAAAACTCATTAACCACCTACTTAAGCTTTTGTGCCTTACTGTATAGGTGTTTGTCATATACATGCTATTCCTCAATTTTTTAAAAAAAAATCTTAAGGCAGTGTAAGGCAAAGAGGGTAAAAGTTTTACAAGATGTCATTCTAGAGGGTAGGAGGGGGTAGGAATTGGGTTCTGGCAGGAAAGAAAACAGGAAAAGGGAAGAAATGCAGACCTCTTGATGAGGCACCAAGTAAATCCTCTGCAGCTGGTGCGGTAGAAAGCGGGCTGGCAACTGGAAACGGGGGTGGGCAGAGGTGGATGCAAAGGGGCTGAAGCTTTCAGGTACCCTGAGCCAGGCACTTTGAACCCAAAGGGAAGGAAAGAAGTAAAAGCGGGGAGGGCGGAGGGAGGGAAGGAAACAGGAAAGGGAAGGAGGGGAGACAGGAGACAGCACTGACCTGGGGGGCGCATACAGTGGGGGGGGGGGGCTCTGACTGGCTGCGCGGCCAGCCTTCGGCAAGTCCCCCGAGAGCTGCAAGCCTGTATGTGTCTCTTTAAAATGAGGCTGGACCTCTGAAAGTGGGGGGTGATGGAGATGGTGTATGTGGAAGGCTATTTGTAAACTCGAAAGAGCTGCTAAATGCTATATATTATCACTATAGATCAGCTCAGGGTTGGGCCAACTGCAACAGTGGATGTGAGCACGTGTATCAGTTTAGCTCCCTAAGCGACTTTCCACATCTTTCCTACACCTGACCGCCAGATTCACAGGAGTAAAAAGGTTTTCTCCCTTTTTCTTTTCTGCTCTGTGCTAACTCAGATGTTGCTTTGTGCAGGCCTGGGCGTGAGCCTCCTTCCAGCAGCCCCCCACCTCCAGCTGTTCTCCTTGACCCCCAGGAACCCCTTCCACCTTCTCCCAGACAAGGCCAGCTGTTGTCACAGAGGCCACCTGCCTCCTGACTGGCCCGAATCACTGGTTGGAAGCCAGAGGCCTCACCAGAGGCCTCCAGGGACCAGAGCAGTGTGCTGGAGGCCCTTGGGGACTGAGGGAAAAGAAGACAAGCACTAAAATTAGATGAGTTGTCTATAAAAGTTTTTCAATTAAAATTGTGATTCTTTTTCCTGTGCAGAAGTGTCTCTTTAAGAACAATTGCACTCCCTGAGTGGCAGGTGAAGAGCTCAGTGGCTCTTCCCAAAGTCAGGGAGGGAAGGGCGGTCAGAGCAGAGCAGAGCAGAGATGGAATAACAGGTTCCTTCCCCTTTTAGGGGATGAGGAAGCGAAATGGAGAAAGGAGCAGGATGGGGGAGCCAGCTGTTAAGGGATCTGCTGGGTGACTCCCCACGCTGAGGCTCCTGGAGGAGGGGGCTGAGCCTGTTGGGGACCCTGAAGCCGGGATTTTTTTTTCTTTTGTTCCACAAAATTATGCCCCTTTCTCAGTCCCTTCTCCCCCTTGCTGGCCACCAGCCCTGAAACTGCAGCCAGAGCCACCCACGCCTTGGCCTCAGGGCCACCCGGGCAGGCAGAGGAATCCAAAGGGAGAAAGCGAGTGAGGGAGGGAGAAAGGAAAAGAGAGAGAAGGAGAGGGAGAGGGGGAGTGAGTGGGAGAGAGAGAACATGAGAGAGGAGGCAGACAGATTGGGAAGAAGCCAAGAAAGAGGGGATAAATGGGGTGGGGAGAGGGGGAGAGCCCACCAGGGGAGAGAGATCCTTAGAGCAAGCGCAGGGGTCAGCGGGATGGAAGAGAAGAAAGGGGTGAACGAGGGGAAGGAAGGGGAGGGCAAGGAGGGGACTGGCCCAGAGGTGGCAGAGCTGAGGGGTGTGCAGCGACTTCGAGAAACAGAAGCGAACCGTCTGGGGGCTGCTCCCAGCAAACGTGGAGTTCACAGCCAAGGTCCTGAGCCTGGTGGCGCCCCAACTCACACCCAAGTCGGGAACTCCCCCATCGGCACTGTGCAGCCACCCCATCTCGGATGCCAAAAACCTGTGGCACAGTACACACGTAGGGGGGGTTGAGGCGCTTGGTTTGTGTGGGCACCCCCTCCTCGCATCACGATGGAGCTCTTGCCGCTGCACCCACAGTGCGCCCTGGACGGCACAAGCAAGTGTTGGGAGAGGGTGCCCTGGAGTAGTCTCTCCAGCCCTCCTAGCTCCCCAAGATTTCTGTTTGCAACATCCACACCTGCCGCCCAGCACATGCACTGGGGTGGGTTGCGGGGCGCGGTCTCTGAGGGAATTACTATCTCCTTCATTCTCTTGCTCCTTCAAAGTTCCTCTTTGACAGCAGAGAGACTTATTTTAAGTCAGAAGAAAGGAAAATCCTGCCCGCTCAGGACTCTGTGATTGCACAAAATCCAAAATACCGCCAGCTTGGAGGTACTACTGGGAAACTCTAGAAACCAGGAGCATTAGGAGGCAGGAAATGAAGGGTGTGGGAGACAAGTTCCTAAATAAACCAAGCAACATGACGTGGGAGACCGAGGGGGCAAGACCTGAAGGGTTGATACCATTGGGACAGAGAGCTGGGCGGTGAGACTCTCAGGCAAATGGAAGGACCATCGCTGCTGGAGTATCTGTCTCCCCAACGGAAGTCCCCCCCCACCCCCCAGAAAACCTCGTCTCTGAAGCTTACAGTAGCAGCTTCCAAACCCCCCCCGCCCTGCGCTGCCAAAGCTGTCACCCTGGGTCCTAGGAGTGCCCATGCGGAGACTCATCGTTCGCTGGGTCTCCTTTTGTTTTTGTTTTTTTGTCTCCTTCAAATACAAGACGAAAATACACCCCGTGTATCATCATAGATAGATATATTTCACTCTCACCACATAAATACAAAACATCCAAATATCCAAAACATTCAGAACAAAGTTAGTAGCCAGGATTCAGTGACACCTACCCGCGTTTGAATCGTTCATTATTTTCTTCACTAAAAATAATTTGCCTAAAAAAAAAAAAAACAGGAAAAAAAAAGCGTCCGACGTAAATAATTTACAATAAAATTACTATCTTTAAAAATGCTCTACACTCGCTTCGGATGGAGGAATACATTCCAGACACCGCGGCGCCTCGCCGCCTGGGTCTGCGGTTTTGGTTAAAATGCGGGTAGCGGTGGCTGTGGGGACTGTCATTGTCGCGCCGGTGAGGTCCAGGTTTACGACTCGGGACCATGGAAACCCTGGGTTTTGGGAGGTGTTTTATAGGGAAGGGGTCCTTTGCTCCCCACGCAGGGAGCTGGCGTGGAAGCGTGGACTACCCACTCAGGAGGCCCGGCGGCCTCGCGGTCCTCAGCTGCGCCCCTGCCTCCCGGTCCGCAAAACACTGCTCTGAAGCCCGGGCGGCTGCTCCGCGTTGGCAGGGTTGTGTGAATCCGGGAGTGAGGGGCAGGAGAGGCGCTGGGCGCTGATGTGCTTCCGAGCCCAGCCAGTTCTGCCCGAAGCCACGCGTCGGAGGGACGGGCGGTGGGTAGGAGCGCCGGCGCCCGGGACCCGCGGGAGCCACACACTGATCTCTCGCCGGGAGGAACGCGAAGGCCGCTCGGAACAGCCTCGGAGAAGATGCTGAATTTCCTTTCATGCGCTGCCTTGGCTGTTCTTTCGCTTTTCCCTTTCAAATTTCTGTTTAAAATGGTTAACACCCAGAACTTTAATTTTATATTGCCCTGGGGCGCATTGCGTGGCGCTGAATTTTCTTAGACCTTCCAAAACTCTTTTATGAGTGTTTTAAAACTGGTTCCGCTGCATCTGATTTAATGTGGTGGTTATCGCTCTTGTTTTATTGCTGATTGGATCAAATTTATGACCACCGTTGCCTACCACGACGTGTGGTTTAGTGTCTCCTGGGGCCAATAAGCCCAGGAGGCGGCTGTGATTGGAGTTTCTCTAGAGGGAAGAAAGCTCTGCAGAATTTGCCCAGCCAGGAAGCTGCCTGGGCACCGGCCCGCCGGAGAGGTCCGCCAAGTGGGGACCAGGGGCTCCCCAAAGCCCTGGTTTCTCTGGCGAGAGGGAAGGTACTCCCTTTTTGTCTTAAAAAAAAAAAGAAAGAAAAAACAACCCGTGCCAGCTTTTTCAGCCCCTGGAGTCTGTGTGCAGCTTTCGTCTTTCAAATATTCATCAGACTAACCAACGGCAACAGAGAGCAGGTGCCCGGTGCTCTGGACTTAGAACCGACCGGTCTTTTCCCTCCAGGGCTCAGCATTGGTTGGGGCATCAGGTTGACTAACCAGAGCCTTTCCCCCAATTCTTTGGATTCTCCTGGATACAGAGGAAGTTTGGGGGAAGGGAGAACGCGTAGGAAAGGAAGAAAAAAAAATAGCCCAAATGAGATAAAATGGGTAGCAGAGTCCGGTGGGGAAGGAGAGCTGTCACAGGCCTTGTGGGCGCGGGGAGCCCCCCGCAGGAGCCCCGGGCGCCGAACGCGCGCGAGTCCATAAATATCACCACAATAGATACTATAAATATAAATACAGGGAAATACTTAAAATCAGTCCAGCGCTTTTTTCTCGGCCCCTTCTTTATTGTTGGTCCGGGAGTAAGGCTCGAAGGCCGAGGAGCTCAGGTACCTGGCGGAGAGTTCTTGCAAGTTCCCGGCCAGCGAACCAGCCATTGTCAACGGGGTGGACAGGCGGCTGGCAACCGAGCCGAGCAGCGAGGGCACGGGTAGGCTGAAGAGGCCGTGGCCCGCAGCCGGCGCGGCTCCGTGCAGTCCCCCTGGCCCGGCGGGCCCCGGCCCCGGGGCACCGCCCACTGCCGGCGGGTGCGGGGACGCTGCGCTGGCAGGTCCCGGGGCGGTGGCAACGGCGGCGGCGGCGGCGGCGGCCGAGCCCGCGGCGGCGCCCGCCCCCGCGCCCAGGGCGGGTAGGCTGGGCCCTCGTAGCGCTGAGCCGAGCGTGCCGGTGGCGCACGGCGGCAGCAAAGCGGGCAGGCCTGGCGGCGAAAGCAGGCGGCCCTGCTCCAGAAGCCGCAGCACGCTGCACGTGGCCGCTGTCTCCGACACCACCGAGCGCAGCTCCGAGTCCTTGCCCTGGTCCTTCTTCTGTTTCGTGCGCCGGTTCTGGAACCAGACCTTCACCTGCGTGCCAGGCGCGGGGAGAGTGGGGAAAAGGAGCAGGGGAAGACGGGCGTCAAGGGGAGCAGGCTGGCGGGGCTGGGGGAGCCCTCCCGCAACCCCAGCCCCAGCCCACCCGGGGGCTGATAAGGGAAGTCAGGACGGCCAGGTGGAGGGCACAGCTCTGCTAGGCTGAACTTCCGGGTCATGGAAGCAGGCCCAGGCTGGTCGGCATTACCAATGAAGTAATAAAATGTCCATGAGCTTAACTCAAGCAAGACCACAAGGGATTTCACTGGGTGGTCCCATACCCACGGCTGGACCACTTATCTGTTGAGGCCCGACAATGCTGGCCGGGAAGCGGGGGTAGATGGGGAAGAGTGTCGCCCTGCCTGTCTGGACCCAGGCCCCTGGCCAAATGGGCTCAAATTGAACCCCAGCGGCAGTACTGTGGAAAGCTACAAGCAGCTGTTTCTTGCTTATTAAGATGAGGCTTGACCATCAACTACCAGCAAGCAAGGAAGGTGGCTGCAGAAGGATTTGTGCCAGATGGACTTTACCCCAAGCTTCCCCCCATCCATTCGCTACCAGCTGGACTGAAGGGGCTGAGTGGTACTCAGTGTGCTCTACCGATCTTCAGCATGAACTTTGGGATCACAGGAGAAAGTCAGGAGGCTGCACTGGACTTAATTCTCTCCACCATCCTCCCCTCTCACTTTCTCTTTGCCCTCTGTCCCTCTTCAGGCCTCACTGGTGGCCCTGAATGGAGTTGGGCAGCTATAAGGAAAGGTTATCCTGTCTAGATTTTGTAAACTAAACTAGCAGAGAGACTAGGGAAAGGCAACCGTGCCACTCAGACTCAGAAAGAACATCAGATTTGTTCTGTCTTTAGTTCTTAGCTTTCTGCCCAGATGCCAGACCTGAAGTGCCCCACCTACTTTGGGGCTGGGCAGAGGTAAAGGAACTAATCCTCAGAAAAAAAAAAAAATGTCTGCCTTACCTAGGCCAGGCTGGTGTCATGCCCTGGCCAGGCCCCAGAGGGCCTCCACAAGGCAAACCTCTCAGGCCTTAAAGTACCTTTGGGTTAAGTCCATACAGCATCATATGGATTTCATGTAACGCAAAAGACATAACAAGGCACAGTTGGCAGCGCTGGCTCCCAGGGCCCCAGATTTGCCTCTCATTCCATACCTCACACATCACTGGCTTAGAAGATAGGGCCTCCTAGATGTCTGGAGTGGGTGCTCAGGGCTGAGAATGAAATTGGGTAGCTTAGGGTCAGGGGGAGCCCTAAGGTCAGGGCAGCCTGGTCTGCAGATGAAGACCTTAGGAGTGTGCACCTTTCTAATCCTAGCTGTCACCTACAGTGCTGGAGCAGGGGACTTTGGCCTCAGGCTTTAGGCCCACTGCAAAACGGGCCTGGGTGTTGTATGAGGCTGGAGTCCCCAAAGCAGGTGGTGCCTGGGGATCTGGCCAAAACTAGGTGGGCAAAACATGGTGAACATCAATTCCTCGTAGAGCAGAGATAAGTAAGGAATTCTCAGGACTGAGGTCCAAAAGGAAGGCCCAAAGGATGGGATTTGTGGCCTCCTGGGCTAGGCCAATTGAGCAGAGCATGGGCCCTGGAGTACCTCAGGGAAGGGGGGGTGGGAGGATGGCTTATGAAACGGAAGAAAGCCTTAGGTTTTTCTTCCCCATACTCCCTATCTCCCCCCTCCCCGGGGAGGCTCTGTCCAGAGCCAGATTGAGTGGTTTGGGAGAGTTGGCTGGGGCTGGTGGGCAAAGAGGCTGCTGGGGAAGGAGGCTGGTGCAGAGCTGTGAGTGCCCTGGCCGCTGGGTACCTGGGTCTCGGAGAGGTTGAGCTGCCGGGCGAGCTCGGTCCTCTCGCGGCCCACCACGTACTGGCAGCGCTGGAACTCCATCTCTAGCCGGTAGAGCTGCTCCGCTGTGAAGGACGTGCGCGTCCTCTTGGGCCGGTCCAGGTCCAGGCCCTTGGGCAGGATGATCTCTCGGATGGACCCCTTGGCATCTAGGGAAGGGGAACCGTCAGCCGCCAGAGCCCTCTTGTGTCCCTCCACCTTTCTGGCGGGAGCTGGCTTCGGGAACCGTCACTCTCGGCCCAAAGTTCAGAGGTGGGGAGCGAGGGGGTCCGCCATAGCTGGGGAGCAAAACCTGTGCGTTTGGAGCCCTTGGGGACTACCGCCACACGATGACCGGAGGGAGAACCAGACTGTGCCTTTGTATAGCCCTCTGGACAGAGGATGGGGGCTGATGGTCCTTCTGGCTTGGGGGCCTTGACTACCCCGTGTGGGTCCCAGGTAGCCTGAGGGTCCCCTTACTGACCCAGTCGTGCAAGCCCCAGCTCTGGAGATCTTTGACCAGACCGCGCCACGGCGGTCCCCACCCCCACCCCGGGGCCTCTTTCCCTTAGGAGCCCGGGAGGCGGAAGGAGGAGGGACCGAGTCTGGGCCAGCGGGGCCTGGCGCTCCGCTGGCGGGGTGGCGCCGGGCCTCACCACCGTGGCCGCCCAAGACGAGCGCACGCCGCGCTGTAGAGCCGGGTGGAGCCATGCACCGAGGCATCTTTCGCAGCCCGGCAACTGAGCCCGGCCGCTTCCCCAGGCGGTGGCGGCCAGCCCCGAGCGCGGCGCCGGGGCCCTCGGCCCAGCGCGCCCACTGGCTGGGCGGTAGCGGGCGGACGGTGGCTGCTCTCCCGCATTCCCGCTCCCCTTGGGTGAGCTCAACTCGCCAGGGCGCGAGAGTCCTCGACCCGGCTCCCGGCAAGTCCTCCGGGCCGCAGAGCGCGCACACGTTCTCCGGAGTTTTCTGCTCCTTCCCCGGGTCGAAGGCCGCAGCCTAGAGCCTGGGCCCGCCCGGGCAGCCCCTAACCTTCCCCAGCAGCCCAGCCAAGGGGCCTTCGGGGCTTGGAGAGTCAAGGTGCCTGGAGAGTGCGCGCCCCAGATTCAAGTCCCCACCGCAGGCCGGACCCGGGGAGGGGAGGGCCAGCAACTTTCTCCGAAGTCTCAGCCCGCACCCCCTTTCCGCCTGGCACGGTCGGGGTCGGCGCGCGGCTCGGCCCCGGAGAACGCGCCCCGCAGCCCTGCGCACTCCTACCTCGGACCAGGATCCGGCGGCAGTAATCCGGATCTGCCGAGGAATTGGATTTACTTTTGTTGCAATCTTCCGTGGCGCCCGACGCCGAGAAGGCGCCCTGCGGCTCCTTGAGGAAGGCAGCAGGGAGGTTCCCCTCCGCGCCCTTGCTCTCCCGGCTCTCCTTGTGCGCGTTCTTGGAGACCCGGGCAGCCTCTGCGTCCGTGTGGCACCGAACGTCCATTTTGTCTGTTTTCCCGAACATGGGAGAAGCAAGAGAAACAAACAAAAAAACAAAAAAAAAAAGGAAAGAAGAAGAAGAACAGGCAGAGTGGGGGACAAAACCCCTACAATACAGCCCCTACGCCCGGCCCGGAGAGAGGCAGGAGGCGAGAATGAATGTCCCGGCAGGGTGGCCGAGGCTGCCGCGGCAGGGCCAGTGGCGACCGGCGAGTGGCGCGCTCGCCGAGAGGCGGCAGGTCTGGTCCAAGATCCCGGCGGAGCAGCGGCACGGCCGCCTCGTCAGCACCCGCGTCCTCTTGAGCACGTCCAGTGTCCCCAGCCCGGAGAGCAGGTAGCGAGCAGCGCAGCTCCGAAACGCTGAGGCTCCCGCCTGGTACTGAGGCGCGAGTTGTGCTTGTCCGACACCCGGGGGGACGCACGCTCGCTGTTGCAATTGATTACGGGTAATTTCGCAGCCCCCACGTTTCGGTTACCTCATGAATACACTAAATTGTTTGGATAATATATCAGATCGTAATGGATGGTTTCTGTCCTTGTCCCCAATCAAGTAGGGGTTTAGCGAGCGAACAAACGGAAATGATTGGTCTTGCTTTCAGGAAACACACAATCAAAGACCCACACTTCCAGAAAAACTTTTGGCAAGATTCGTCCTGAATGGTTGGTACCATTAGCAGGCATTATTAACTTTCCCTTTGCCTTTGACCCTCCTGCTCACGTACTGGCTAGAGGGGGCTTCTCCACACTCCACAGATGGAGTTGAATGAGGCGTGGAGGGGGGAGCCAAACAAAACAAAACACAACCAAAAAAAAAAAAAAACAAAAAAACCCCCAACCCCAACAAACCCTGCAGCACACACCCTGCAGCAGCAGAAAGCAGTTGCCTCTGGGGGAGCGGGTGGGGGGGGGGGGGGAAGCCGGGAGGGAGGAGAAAAAGTTTCCCCCAAAAGTATCTCCCCGAACTCTAAAAAGCCAAGCTTTCATCCCAAACAACTCCTCCTTAACACACCTCGGCGCTGCCAGCCATCTTAAACCGCCACCTCTCCTCGCCGAGCCCGCGGCGGATTTTTTCTGCCCGCACCTCCAGCCGCCCGGAGGCAGCCCATTCAAAGGGCAGCTTTGTGCTCGGAGTCCAGCAGGAGAGAGAGGGGAGGCGAGCGAGCGAGAGAGAGCGAGCGAGCGGGAGAGCTAGCGGAGAAAATCTCAACTGTGAGATCTGCTTCAAAAAAAAAAAAAAAGTTTTCCCCTAGCTATTTCATTGTCTCTGCTACAATATCTTTGAGAAAAGCAACAGCCAGTAATCCAATAAGAGCATTGATTAGGCTACAATGATTCAATTCAAGCGCGCGGCCTTGTGCAAGGAGCATGCTCCAGCCCTTCTCGTCACCTTGCCGGGGCAGAAGCCCTCTCCACGCCGCTCTCCCCATTCATTCCTTTATGGGAAATGCAGAGCAAAAGGAGTGAAAGATGGCAATTATCTAATTGGACTATTAACAAACAGTCCTCTGAGTGCGGCGGTCTGGCGTGGCTCCTGGGCGGGGGAAGGGCCGAGCTCCCTGCCCTCATTCACAAAGAGTGCAAGGGCCGGGGAGGAAAGGGGGTTTTTTAAAGGGAGTTGGCGCGGGGGTGGCGGCGGGGAGTAGGTGGGAGGTTTGACGGAGAATTTTTTTACACAATTCCGAGAATGGGGGCGGAGGCAGGCGGGGAGGGGAGTGGAGGGGGCTGGGGCGGGGGTCGCGGCTAGCGCAGTTGAGAGAGAGAGAGGGAGGGGGTGCGAGAGAGAGAGAGAGAGAGAGAGAGAGAGAGAGAGAGAGAGACTGTGTCTGTGTGTGTGGCGGGGGGCGCCCAGGAGCTCCAGCCCGCAGCCGGGGACTCTTGCCCGCCACTCCGCACCCCAGCGGACCTGCCAGGGCCGGAGGCGCCACCACACTCTCCCTCCCTGTTCCTCGCCCCGCAGGCCCCAGGCCCCAGGCCCCAGGACCCTGGCCCCAAAGCCAGCCCACTCTGGGTCTGGTACTGGTGGGCGTCTTCGGCCTTGGAAGCAGACCTTGGGCTATTACTTTAATTCAGCGGCGTGTGTGCGTGTGTGTGCGTGTGTGTGTGTGTGTGTGTGTGTGATTGTCCTGAGCGGGTCCCAAGCAGACGGGTGGCCCTTCAGTCTTATTGGCCGCGAACGCTGCCCTCGAAGCCCGACGCCAATTGGGTCTCCGGGTGGAAAGTGTCTTTTATTCGCGCTCTCCCGGTGGGTTGGTGGCGGAGCAGGGGGCGTGGAGGAAGGGAGGGTCCTTGCGGCTGCCCTGTTCTGAAGACGTAGAGAAGGATTAAGAGAAAACCCAGCCAGCTCTCCAGTTCCTTTCCGCCACGCTGAAACCCTCCGGGGGGCGCCTTGAGGCCCCAGGGCTCTACTCCCAGGCCGGCCGCGCTGTCGGGAGGCGCTTCTGCTGGGCCTTGGTACCCCTGACCGCGCAGCTAGGCAGGTCCCTGGGATTCGGGTCCTCCCCAAGCGGATCCGGGTGGTGGTGGGGGCCCTCATTTCTCTGCAGGGCTGCCAGAGGCAGTTCCTGGGATGTCCGAGAGCAGGGTGTTGATGGGGCCCCAAATCCCAGCCCAGTGGCCCTTTCCTGCCACCTGGCAGGCAGGGTCTTACCCTAGGAATGCTGCCTCTGGCCCGCCCCCGCCCCCCACCCCGCAGTCCAGCTGCTCAGGGTCCTCCTGTACAGGAGTGTTGAGCTGGGGGGTGAGGTGCTTACACCCTCAGGAGACCTGCCAGGGGCCGAGAGTCCCCGACGGTAGCCTTGGTCCCAGACCGGGCCACCTCGGAGTGCCTCCTGGTCTCCGGCTGCACCCCTGCTCTGTGGCCTCTTTCTGCTCAGAGCACTTGGTCCCGACACCCACACTGCCACCTCCCGTGCCAGAGAAAAGTCTTTAAAAATAAAAATGTCCAACCTACCCCCTCTTCTTTTAGGTGGATGAGGGGAACCCACCCGGGACTGAACCATTGCCTTTAGAAAGGACAGGTCAGTGGGCAGTGGTGGCCAAGGGATGTCCAGAGCCACATATCCTGCCCAACCCCTGCCACAGGATGCACCAGCCTGTGACCGGATCTCCAAAACTGATTTGCAGTTGGGCCGGGGAGGTCCTGGACCCACCACCGCTCTTGCAGGGGACAAACGGTGGCGTGTTTGCTATAACTGGGAACAGTTATTGGGCCGTCACTTCCAGCTGCAAACCTCGTTTAATTTTCTTAACCCTCTGTCAGGAAGGTAGCCATATCCCGGCTTTGGAGAGGAAACGACAGAGGCTCAGAGGCATTCAGGAACTAGCCCGAGACTTACAGTTTGCACGTGCAGAACGTGAGCCCAGTCCTACCTGACTCCAAACCTCTTCATGACCTTCTTTAGCCACCCCGCAGGATGCTGCCCATTTTTCTTTAGTTCCAAATCTATCCCTGCTTCGAGTTTTCCTCATCTCCAGTGACAGCAGTACAAATTATAGATACAGAGCAATGACCCTAATGTTCATGGGAGCAATCCTGATTATTAGGCATTGATTTTCATAAATTTTTATCCAAACAACATGAAGCACTAAGGGAAACAGGAACTCTTATTTCTGATAAGGCTGTTTATCACCAGCCACGAGCATTTCCCAGGAATCAATCGCCCTCCTACATCAGCCCGAAATGAATACAGTGCACTTTGCTGGGTGCAAGCCTCCTGAATGGATGTCAGAGCAGGGGTGTGCCTTTCCAGACGCCTCCCTGGGGGGACCTTTCCACAAAAGTTGAAGGACTGCACCTTTAAAAACTGGGTTTGTTAGGGGACTCGGGTAGGCTTCCTGAAGGCATAGGACTTTTCGGTTTGTTTTTTATTTACTTCCTGGAAATACAAATGCTTATCAGGGAAAGGAAGAAAATGGGATATTACCAAAAAAATCCAATTTAATTAAGCAGCTGTGTCTCAGGAGTCAGAAGGTGTCAGGACCTGGGGCAGGACCCAGGGTGAAGCTGCTGAAGCTGATGGGCCTTCTCTCTACAGCTCCAGGGACCCTTAGTGAAGGGAACTCACCAGCCTCCAGCGAGGCTCAGGGTGGGTGCTGCTGACCAAGGCCCCTCCGTGTGCCAAGCCCTCAAAGTAACCAGATTCGTTCAAGAGAGAGCCAACCCATAACCTGGTTTTGCTTTTTGTTATGCATAGTACTTTTTTTTCCCCCTGGTGACTGGATTAAAATTCTGTGGGCATCCATCCAGAAAAACCATGACAGGTTTCTGAGAGGACAAAGTGGAGGATGGCAGCTCAGGGCTGGAAAGCTCAGAAAAGCAGCTGCTGCTCCCAGGGAAACGGAAAGGCTGCGTGTCCACTGGCAAAGCAAGGGGAGGACGCGGTCAGCTGTTTGGCTGATCGGAGACAAGCCTGCACCGAACAGCACGTGAGGACGCGGGCCTGCTCCAGGTAAAAGTGTCTAATCGTCTTGACGAAATTTTCCTCCCTCTCCAGGCCCCTTCCTGCCCTCACGTCACTGCCTGCAGGTGCAGACAGACCCAGAATAGAACTGGAGAGCTGGAAGGATTTGTAGAGATCATCTATTCCATGACCTTCATTTGACTTGACAGATGAGGAAAATGAGCCTGGAAAGACAAAGCGACTTGTTAAGGATTAGACAACTAGTTGGGGGGGGGGGCCTCTGTGCCACAGGCCTGGTCTCCTGACTTAAAGCTCCCCTCCCACCGCCACCCATGCTTCCCAGAACCTGAACAGGATGAATGCTTTCGCTGGGGTCGGGTGAAGTGATGTCATCCAAATGAACCAAAGCACAGTCAGAGCCTTGCGGGTGTTTTTCTTATTCCTCCAGTCACCCTGTCACTGCAACAGAAAGCAGGATCCGAGATAGTATACAGTGCTTTCCTTTTCTATCTTCACTTTTTTTTTCCCCAGAAAGGTGTAGGGGGGGAGAACCCGCTGGCAGAAAATCTGAGATGCTCTTAGATTATGAGTGCTTTGGGGACAGCATAACTTCATGTCTGAAACG